GGCTCCGGGCAGTCCAAATATAGTACAGGAGTCGTGTTCTGGGAACACGAAGAACACAAAGTGGCCTACAGTTGGCTCCGGGCATTCAAAATGTGGCTTGGGAATGGTGTTCTGGGAACACGAAGAACACGAAGTGGCCTACAGTTGGCTCCGGGCATTCAGAATGTGGCCTGGGAATGGTGTTCTGGGAACACGAAGAACACGAAGTGGCCTACAGTTGGCTCCAGGCATTCAAAATGTGGCCTGGGAATTGTGTTTTGGGAACACGAAGAACACGAAGTGGCCCACAGTTGGCTCCGGGCATTCAAAATGTGGCCTGGGAATGGTGTTCTCGGAATGGATTCCTAAGGATTCTCAAAAATTCCTAAGGATTTCTAAATATTCCTGGGGCTGCCGGTTTTTTTCGGTTTTGTCCGGATCCCTCCCAGACCCCCCTGGGGCGTCAAGATGTGCTCTTTTTTGACACTACTAAAAACCTATCAGCAAAGGCTGTTAGGTAATTGAAGGAGGGGGCGGGGGGGCGGGGGGTTGGGGGGCGGGGCTTCACCGACTGTGCCCAGGGCACTTTTCGGACCCAAGAGGGCCTCAAGATGGGCCGAACGAGTCCCCAAAGACCCCCAGGATAGTCCAAGATGGCCCCAGATCGCCGGCCCATCGCCCCAAGACGCTCAACATGGCTCCCACAAGGCTCAAGAACACGCCAAGACGGCCCAAGAGGCCTCCAATATTCCTGCCCAGAGGGCCCCGAGAGGCCCGAATCGTGGATTATCTTTAGTTTTTCGCCATATCCTCAGGATGGAATTATTGATGTTATTTTAACCGCGCGGACAAACGAGAACACACCTCCCACCCTCAGGTCATCATCCTCTGACTCACTCAGACGTAGACACCCTCATATTCAGACTCACTCATACTCGGATGCGCTCGCTCTTAGATTCCTGATACTCAGGTTTCTCATGACCGGGGTCACTCATATGCAGACTCACCCACCTTAAGACTCACTCATACCCTGCCTCGCCCTTCCTCACTCAGGCTCAGCCGCACAACTTCCGCGCCCAGATTCAAACGCACGTTGTGGAGATGTTTCCAAAGTAGACTCACTCACACTCAGACTCACTCACACTAAGACTCACTCATGCTACGATTCGCTCTTCCTCACAGTGTCAGTCACACCACTTCCGCGCTCATTCACACACACAGTGTGAGGATGCCTCAGGCGAGGCGCTGGTTTCAGCACTCCCAAGGGGGTGCGCCAGGGATCTGGACACTCCAAGCTTCGCGCCCACATTGTGGGGATACCTCAAGCGATTTGCCTGCTTCGGTGCCCAACATTTCTGGCTTTCGGAAAAATTCCCCATACTGTCTCAGGCAAGGCGCTGGCTTCAACACGCCCAAGGGGGGGCGGCATGGGTCAGGACACTCCAGGATTGGCGCCCAGATTGTCGGGAGGTCTCAGGCGGTTTGCCTCTTTCGGTGCCCAACATCTCTTGCTTTCGGAGCAGATTCTGAGGATGTCTCAGGCAAGGCGCTGGTTTCGGCACTCCCCTCTTGGGGTGGGGATACCAAGAATTCGCGCCCAGATTGCGGGGATGTCTCTCAGGCTGTTTGCCTGTTTCGGTGCACAACACCTCTTGTGTTCGGAGCAGTTTCTGAGGACGTCTCAGGCGAGGCGCTGGTTTCAGCCCTCCCTATGGAGGGCGGCAGGGGTCAGGACATTCCAAGATTCGCGCCCAGATTGTGGGGAGGTCTCAGGCGGTTTGCCTGTTTCGGTGCCCAACATCTCTTGCTGTCAAAGCCGTTTCTGAGGATGTCTCAGGCGAGGCGCTGGCTTCAGCACTCCCAAGGGGTGGGTGGGTGGGCGGCAGGGGTCAGGACAAACCAGGATTCGCGCCCAGATTGTGGGGATGTCTTAAGCGGTTTGCCTGTTTGGGTGCCCACCTAAGGCCCCAGTGGCGGTGGCGGTGTCCGCATGCGTGGGGCCAGAATTTGAGGATGTCTCGAGCGGTTAGCCTGTTTTGGTGGCCAGACTCGTGGGCACGGATCCTCGCCAGGCTGCCACAAGAGGCTCCAGCAGGCTCCAGGAGGCCCCAGGAGGCAACAGGAGGTTCCAGGAGGCATCGGGAGGCCACAGGAAGATTCAAGAGGCCACAGGATGCCCCAAGATGCTGCAGGAGGCCCAAGGAAGTTCCAGAAGGCTTCAGGAGGCTCCAGGAGGCCACAGGAGGCCACAAGTGGCCCCAGGAGGCCACAGGAGGCCCCGGAAGGCACCAGGAGGCCCCAAGATGCCCCAGGAGCATGAGGCCTCAGACGGCCACAGAAGTGGCTCCAATCCCATGTGTTGCACGTCTGATCCTATAGATTGTGCCTCCCCCGGAGCAGTAGTCTTTGGTGTGTTACGTATGTTTCTATATTTTGCCCTTCTCATGCGTATCCAATCCGAAATGTTTGACGGTTGTTCCTGTAGATTGGGTCTCCCCTGGGGCACGAGTCCTTGATGATTCCATGTGTTCCTATGGATTGCCCTTCTCCTGTGGCTCTAATCCGCAATGCTTCGAATCCTCCCCAGGAGGCCGCAGGAGGCCCCACGATGCCCCAGGAGGCCACACGAGGCCCCAGGAGACTTCAGGAGGTCACAGGAAACCCCAAGAGGCCCCAGGAGGCCCCAAGAGGCTCCAGGAGGCACCAGGAAGCCCCAGGAGGTTTCAGGAGGCCACCTCCCGAGGGTGTGACGAGGCCCCAGGAGGCCCTAGACTCACTCTTACTATTGAGACTCACTCCACGCCTATCAATACTCAGACCCGTTTATATTCGAAGTCTCTTGCGCATTGGCACTCACAGCGGAAAGGTCCATCCAAATAGATGCACATGTGGGGAGCTCCACGAAGTGAATAATTCGGCCTCCCGACGCTCCCAAACGGCCCTAAAGGCCCCCAAGAGGCTTCCAAGAGGGCACGAACACGGCGCAAGAATGCCCTAAGACAGCTCAAGAGGCGCCCAAGACAGCACAAGCGGCCCAAATGACGGCCCCATTAGGGGACCCAGATATGGGGACACGATCGGACAGGTGGAGCCCTCGGCCCCGAGAAACCCCCACGAGGCCCCGAATAAGCTCCAAACGGCTCCCATGAAGGTCTCCAAGAGGCCCCCAAGAGGCCCCCAAACTGCCCGGGAGCCGGGACCAGGTCGTGCTTGAAAGATCGGAGCGACTTGCGGTCTCTGCGCAGCTGGGTCTAAGCTACTTGTAAAAGAACGTGTCGCTGTCGTTTGTGTTCTATGTATTTATAGTTTTGCTTAAGTATTGCTCCTGCGGTGTAAGGCTCGTTCTGCTACATATAAGTCTGCTCCATACTTGGCCGAGCGGCGTCGGTTATATATACGTATCGGTAAGCCACCTATCCGACTCTAAGCGCCACTAAGTTACTTAGCATTACTTGTCAACTATGTATAAATAACGTGTGTGTGTGTGTGCTCCCCCATTTCCTCCCTCCTCCCTTCATCCCCCTCCGCGCGAGCCACGGACGCGCGCTGCGGCGGATTGAGGGGGGGCAGCGATGGCGACCGCTCGGGCGAGTGGGAGAAGATGAGCTGATGACGATGATGGGAATCGGAGTGTATTATCTCAAGCTGGGAATTTGTGCTCAGCAAGTCGCCACGGCGGCCCCGATGACACGCTACGGAATGCAAGCAGATAGCGTGTCGCTCCGCTCTGGGGGGCGGGAGGCTCGGAAAAACTGGGCACGTTGACGCTCGGCGGCCGGGTCGCGGATAACGGGTCGCGCCGCAGCGTGGTAGGCCAGAACCGGCGGAGCAACACGCGATCCAAGAGTCTCCGACCGTACGCCGGGAGCCCGCGGCGAAGGCGAGAACAAGTCTGAATCCGCGAAGCACGGGAACGAAGTGAGGAACCGAACTCTATACACCGACACTTTTTCCGGCCCCGCACTGGACCTCGCACACGAAAGCGGATTCTGGTGTATACGGGACCCTGGTGTATACATGTCTCGTTGTCTCCCCAGGAGAACGGGGAAACAAGCATACACCACACCACCCCGACGTCGTCCCCGACCCTCCAAGAATCAGGGGACTGCAAACAGCCCGCCACTGGTAATGTATATGCTCCAGTTTCCGACGAAAGACTTCGCGCGGCAGCCCCTTGCACTCTCCGTGCGCCCCTCTAGGAAAGATTCCATCGCTGCCGCTGCTGCTGCGGCTGCAGCAGTTGTACTGCAGGGTCGTGCCGTGGCGACCCCGGCGTTGTTGTCTGACACCACGTGGATCGTTCAACCTCGAACCTTCGGCGGCTTCTCGATCGCACATCGTTGCGCATTGCACGATTCTGGGGCAATGGTGGCGTTTGGGGTCGCTGCCGCGTCGGCACGACACGAGCCTACCGCACCTGTGCGTGAGCCTGAGGCGCTGGTGGGCGATGGGTAGCTTCAGCTTGTTGTACTGCGGTGAAGCCAACATCGTGTCTGACCGCGGTGGGCGCGATCATGGCGCCACACGGTCGTCGCAATACGAGGCGCGGTGGGCCACTGGCATCCAAGTCGGCAGCGGGTACCTGGTTGGTGCCACTCGTTTCGCGTAGCCCACAGTGCGCGAGAGAAGCCAGTGCGTGATGCTGTTGCAGCGTGCTGCATGGTGGGTTGAGGCTTTGCCTGTCTAGACGACGGGTATACGACCGTTCGCTGCACTGTTAGTCCAAGCAGAGAGGCAGAGGAGTTCAAGGACAGTGGCTGGCAGATTGCAAGCGTGCGGGCTCAGAAGTGAAGTGCTTCTGGTAAAACGACAGGGCCGAACCGCTTCGCTGGAGCAGCCACGGCGAGGAGAAGCGGATAGAACAAGGCAAGCTCAGGAAACGAAGTCAGGGACGGATTCGCCCCTGGACGGCGCCCTGGGGACCGCAAAAGGGCCTCCGGACATCGACAGGGAACTTGTCCAACGCGTTGGCATCCCTGGGCCCAGCATCGACGTCGGCGGCGAAGGCGACAGCAGCCCGCCTGCTGGCGCTGCGGGTGCCGCCGCGGGCGCCCCGGCGGCCGCCGAGGCGCGCGGCCTGGCCTGTTGCAGGGAGGCGGCGAGCGAGGCATGGCCGTCGTCGGCAAAGCTGTCGCCGTCGTCCGTTGTGATCGTCGTCGCCCGTTGTCTTCATCGCCATCGGACAAAGAGATGGAAGATCGAGTCGCCGTCGCCGCCCGTCGTCGTCACCAGAGGAGGTCGGGTCGGGGAGGACGATCTTCTCGTCGTCATCGTGGTCGTCAGTTGTCGTCCGCCGTTGTCTCGGAGGAAGAGGATCGAGTCGTCGTCCGCCGTCGCCCGTCGCCTCACGTCTTCGCCATCGGAGGAGGGCAAGACGGAGGCCCGAGCTCGTTGTCTTCGTCTTCGTGCGTCGTCGTGCGTCGTCGTGCTCCGTCGTCCTCCGCTCGTCGTCTCGCTTTCGATCCCAATGCTTGTGGGGCATTGCGCGGGTCTCCGTCGCCACGGCTCGACACGGCAAGAAAGACTGTCCAGGAAGGACCGCGTACTGGGCCTGGGTACCGATCTTGAGCGGAATTGGTGGTTGCCGTCGTCCCTCTCCTCCTCCTCCTTCTCCTCCTCCTCCTCCTCCTCCTCTCTCGTCTCCCTTTTCCTCTCTCGTCTCCCTTCTCCACGGCCTCTTCCGTCTCCTCCCTCGTCCCTCCTCGTCGTCGTCGTCGCCGTCGGCAACGGCGACTGCTTTCGTTCTGGAGGCGTTCGAACGTCTCTATACGGGGTTCTCGTCGCCACGGCTGGGCGCAGCTTGAACACAAAAACTGGCCAGGATGGAGGACGGGTATGGGGACATATTTTGAGTGGACCTGCGTCGGGCGTCGCCGTCGTCGCAGTCGCCGTCGCCGTCGCCGTCGCCGTCGTCGTCGTCGTCGGCATCGGCGAAAGAAGATGGATGTTGCAAGTTACTCGCCATTTCGATGGGCCTCCAGGGTCCTCTGCGCAGGCCTCCCGAGGACCCTCCTGGGACTTTCGGGGGGCGTCTGGGGGCCAGGATCCACTGCTCTCGACTTTGGCGGGTGGCCCATGCAGATCTCCAGCGACTCGAAAAGCATCGCGGCAGATGGTGTTTCTCCATTGTCGGCCTCGGGGGGGGCGGTTCCAGGCAGTCGAGGCGCGGCGCAGGATGGAGAGCTGGTCCTGGGGAGGGGGCCGAGAGCTCCAGGGGCTGGCGACTTGAACGCTGTGGGGAGGGCGGGGGCGGGCAAGGGAGACCCAAGAGAGCCCAAGAGGCTCCCCATGCGCTACGCCCTCGTCCTCCTGTCAGGGGCAGATTATGCACAGTCAGGCCACGCCTGCCACGCCTGGCGACCCTGGCGTGGATCGAAACTGCGGACCCCCTGCGCACCGTCCCCTCGGTAGCGAACGTGCCACCACTCCATGTGCACCCTCACTGTTGCCGAGAAAATGCTGGCGCCAACCTCGCCATGCGGCAGGGCAAGGCTGGCAAGAAAAACTACCTGTTTCACCTGCATTCTGGGGCTCACCATGAGTTGGGGCATTCGTACTCCACGTGCGTCTCTTTTGTAGCGGCGCGCCGGGAAAGCGCCAGCCTCACTGATCTTCCCATCCTCCTCCTCCTCCTCCTCCTCCTCCTCCTCGTCGTTCTCCAACGGCCTTCCCTTCTTTATGACAAACAGACATCTCAAACCATGCAGTCCAGCCGTCATGTTAACCAGGACGGACGATGAGGATGCAAGGGCCTTGGAAATAAATAGGACCCGCGATGGGGATGCACGCGCCGCACAGGTGACCCACCCGCGGGTTGGTCACTATACAAGCATGTTGAGAAGCACGCCCTGCTTCACTTGCGTTATGGGCCTCCATACGAATTGGTGCATTCGTGCTCCACACGCTTCCCCTGTGCAGGGAGCGCCGCACAGGTGACTCACCTCCGCGTGGCACCAGACTAACTGGCTGAGACAAATCACCTGTTTCATTGGCATTCTGGCCCTCAAAATGACTTGGCGCACTCCTACTCCACACGCTTCCCCTGTGTAGCGCACCGAAAACGGGACCAACCAGCGGGTGGATCACCCGAATACTGGCTGCAAACAAACACATGTTGTTTTCAGTGGCATTCTGGGCCTCAGCATGGGTTGGTGCATTCGTACTCCACAGGCTTCCCCTGTGTAGCGCGCCGCACAAGTGCCCCCCCCCAGTCGGAAATACTTATATAGTTTCACTTGCGTTCTGGGCGTCACCATGAATGTGAGCATTCGTACTCCACACGCTTCCCTTGTGCAGCGCGCCCCGAAGACGTGACCGAACCAACGGGTGGGCCACCAGAAACTAGTTCAGAATAACAAACAAACGTTTCACTTGCATCCTGGGGGTCGCCATGACGTGGTGCACTCATACTCCACACGATTCCCCTGTGTAGCGCGCACCGGACACGTGACCCACCAGCACGAGGCAAACCAATTGTTTCACAGGCGTCCTGGGCCTCAACAAGGCCTGGCGCACTCGTACTCCACACTCTTCCCCTGTGTAGCACGCGCCGAACACGTGACCCTTCAGCGGGTGGGTTACCAGAATACTGGTTGAGAGCAAACTCTTTCACTGGCATTCTGGGCCTCAACATAAGTTAGTGCACTCGTACTCCACACGATTCCCCTATGTAGCGCGCGCAGCACAAGCGACACACCAGCGAGTGGGTCACCCGAAAACTGGGTGACAAGACCAATTATTTGATTGACGTTCTGGGCATCAATATGAATTGGCGCACTCGTAATCAACGCGCTGCCCCCGTGTAGCGCGCACCGCGCGGGTGACCCACAAGCGGGTGGAAGAACCATGTGTTGCACATGCGTTCTGGGGATCAGCATGAGCTTTTGCATTCCTGCCGAACTTGCTTCTCCTGTGTAGCGCGCGCCGCACAAGTTACCCACAAGCGGGTGGGTCACCCGAGAACTTAGTGAGACAACCAATAGATTTAAATTGCATTCTGGTTCTCAACCAACATGTGTCCGTGCATTCATATTGCACACGCTTCCCGAGTGTAGCGCGCACCGCACAGGTGACCTACCGGCGGGTGGGTCACCCGAACACTGCCTGAGAACAGCCAATAATTGCATTGGCATTTTGGGTTTCAACATGAGTTGGTGCACTCGTGCTCCTTCGCTTCCCTTGTGTAGCGCGCACCGCACACGTGGCCCACCAGCGGCGGTCATCAGAAAGGCGGTTCAGGCAAAAAATAAGCCATGTTGCACTTGCATGCTTGGCCTCAGCATGACGTGGCGCACTTGTACTCCATACATTTCCCCTGTGTAGCACGCATCGCACAAGTGACGCACCAGCGGGTTGGTCACCCGAATACTGGGGTTGAAAAATCAATCAGTTCACGGGCATTCTGGGCCTTGACATGAGCCTGTGCATTTGTACTCCGCACGTTTCCCCTGTGTAGCGCGCCCCGCACAGATGACCCACCAGCGGGTGGGTCATCAGAATACTGATGGAGAGAAGATGTTTGTCACCTGCATTCTGGGACGCAACATGAATTGCGGCATTCGTGCTGCACTCTACACGCTTCCTTGTGGAGCGTAGACCGCACAGGTGACCTACCAGCGGGTGGGCCACCCGAATACCAGCTGAGAAAAGCCAAGTCTCCGACTGGCATTATGGACATCAGCATGCATTGCTGCATTCGCACATACTCAACGCGCTTCCCCTGAGCAGCGCGAACCGAACAGGTGACCCACCGGCGGGCGGGCGGGTCACCCGAATACTGGCTGCGAGAAACCAATTGTTTCACTGGCCCTCTTGGCCTCAACATGAGTTGGTGCACTCGTAATCCACACGCTGCCTCAGTGTAGCACGCGCCGCAAAAGCGACCCAACAACGGGTGGGCCAGCCGAACACAGGTGGAGAAACAGCAAATGTTTCACTGGCATGTTGGACCTCAGCATGAGTTTGTGCATTCGTACTTCACATGATTCCCCTGTGCCGTGCGCGTCGCACAGGTCGCCCACCAGCGGGTGAGTCACCCGAAAACTAGCTCAGGACACAGAACAACTGACTCCTCCGAAGTCCTGAGCCTCAACAAGAGTTGGCGCACCCGTACTCAAGACGCTTCCCCTGTATAGCGCATGCACACCGCAAAGGTGGCCCACCAGCGGGGTGGGCTACCCGAGAATTGATGCAAATGAATATCCGAGACGTGCTCAACCCCTTCCACGCGAGGCGGATAGTTGCCTGAACGCTCCATACGAAAGAACAGATCACCAGATATGCACGATCTGCGCTGCCCTCACCTCCGCCAGGCCTCCAACGAGCCTGCGTAAGTTGCATTCATTGCGCAATTCGCAACCACCAAGGGAGCTGCGAGGTCCCTTGGGTCCGTTTACTCCCCGACTCCGCCATACCTCCCACGAGCCCACAAAAGTGGTGATTGCGCAGTTCGCAGCCACCCAGGGAGCTGCGACGTTTGAAATGGTCCGTTTACTCCGCTGCTCCGCCGTGCCTCCCAGGAGCTCACGCGAGTGCCAACAGTTGTGCAGTTCCCAGCCGGCCAACCAACTACGAGGTCCATGCTGGGTCCGTTTACTCCCCGATTCCGCCGTGCCTCTCATGAGCCCACGGAAGTGGCCACAGTTGCACAGTCCGCAGCTACCCAGAGAGCTGCGAGATCTCAAATATTCCGTGTACTCCCCGACTCCGCTGTGCCTCCCAGGAGCCCACGGGAGTGGCCACAGTTGCACAATCCACAGCCACTCGAAGAGCTGCGAGATCCCGGCTGGGTCTGTGTACTCCCCGACTCCGCCGTGCCTCCCAGGAGCTCAAGGGAATGGCGCCAGCTGCACAATCCGCAACCACCCAGAGAGCTGCGAGATCTCGGCTGGGTCCGTTTACTCCCCGACCCCGCCGTGCTTCCTAAGAGCCCATGGGTGTGGCCGCAAATGCAGAGTCCGCAACCGCCCAGAGAGGGAGATCTCCCCGACCCCGCCGTGCCTCCCAGGAGCCCATGGGAGTGGCCACAGTTGCACAATCCACAGCCACTCGAAGAGCTGCGAGATCTCAAAGATTCCGTGTAC